AAACAAAAGATTTTTTAAATGATGCAAGCGAAAGGAGTGACGCATCTTATTAACATGCAGTGCGCTGCGAAGAAATAAAATTTGAAAAATTAAAATTACTTTATGAATAATTAATCATTAAACAAAATATAGAGTTATGTAATATACACACACACTCATATACACACACAGACACACACACCACATACATACACACACACACAGGACCTGTGCGAGTGTGTAAATGTGCGTGTGTATATTATAAACATTACACTTTTAGATTAGACGAACACATGTGTAGTTTTTTCAAATTTATTTTTAAAATGATAATAAACAAACACGTGGGTCTGCCTAACCAGCAACTCGGTGAATGGGATTAGGCGTGACAGCTGAATTTTAATGCGCGGATTTAAATTTGAATAATAGGCTTGGCGGAAGTGCATCATGATGACGTCATTATTAAAACTTAATAAACAATCCAAAAAAAAGAACACAAGACAAACATAAAAAAGACATGAACAAAACATACAAGCATACAAGCAGCTATCAAACTTTTTAAGGAATATATATCGTTGTTATCATGTTGCTTTCTATTATTATTGAATAGACTCGAATTCTTTAAACATATCAAAGATCCGAGTCTTCAGATGAAACTTTGAAAGTTGTCACTTTCTTAAAAGGAGTGTGTCAATAAGCCAAAGAATAAAAACTTTCGTCTGCACCTTTCGCTTTATCTATTCTATTAGATAATCTAAAATAGCCTACACAACATAACGACACGCACACATACGTACACTTACACCCACACACACACACCACACACACACACCACACACACACACCACACACACACACACACACACATCCACATACACACATCCACATACACACATAAACCTTACATATGAGGTTATAACTACAGACTCACACGTACACACGCACGTACAAACACACATAAACAAACACGCAAACATTTACACACATATACATACATACATACATACATACATACATACACATTACTCGCTTTAAAAAAGAACTTAAAACATTTTTGTTTTCTTATGAGAGATGATGTATGTATGTGTGTGTGTGTGTGTGGGTGGGTTTGTGTGTGTGTGTGTGTGTGTGTATATATTTAATTTCTTTTGATTTAAAAACGGTTTTATTGTCTTGCCAATTGATGCTTGTTTTTTTTATTAGATAGTCATCTTATATATCGGTTGTTTCTATTTATTGTTTTTCATTTCTGACTTTACGTATTATTATGTATTATCATCTACCGTCGGATTATTGATTTATCCATATTTCATGTTGTGTTTAACGTTGAGTTCGCTTTTGAATTTTATTTAATTGGCGTTACATAAGCTCTTGTTATGATATATATATATGTGTGTGTGTGTGTGTGTGTGTGTGTGTGTGTGTGTGTGTGTGTGTGTGTGTGTGTTAAGAGTCTCTTCCATAATAGCTGATTTATATATGTGTCTTTTTTCTTCACTGGATTTCAAAATGGTTTGATTGTCATGACAGTTGATTTTTTATTTTTGATATTTGTTTATCACCTTATATCAATTGTTTCTGTTTTTTGTGTTTTGTCTTGGGTATTTGATTTTGCTTATTATTATGTATTATCCTTTAACTATTGATTTTTGATATGTTTAATGTGTGAGAGCGCTTTTGAATTTTATCTAATTAGTGCTATATAAATTATTGATTATTATTGATTATTGATACACATACAAACACACACATACAGGTAAGAAAACATATACTTATAAGTTCGCATTATTATTTTTAACTTTGAAATCAAAAAAATTTTTTTAGAGTTTATCTTTTTCAAGCAAAAATTATTTGCACTAGTGAAAGCTTGTAAAATGTAATGAGAATAATCTCAATAGGGAATGCTAGTGTAGAAATTTTTAACACACGCCGAGAAATTTTGTATTATTTTTTAAAAATTAGAAAGAATTAATTTTTTAAATGAATGGCAAGAATGCTATTCAACAAAGTATCTTCTATCTTGTGACAAACTCGCAAGATTTTTTTTCACAAAGTAGAAAAAACATGGTTATAAATTTTTTAGACACCACTTTTGCTGTCAAGCAAACAATGTCCGTTACCCACCCACACACACACACAAACACACTCACACATACACACACACTCACTCACACACACAAACACACACTACACACACACATACAAGGAATCACAAGGAATACAACTTACCGTACATTCAAGCTTTCAAAACACAAGGGGTGGGCAAGCATGAAAAATGGCATTACGAACGACCAGACCAAAAATGGGTGTTATAGATGGGGATCTTTTTGTATTCGGGCGCAGACACTTCAATCATTGCACCGTGCCGACACTTAAACCGTAATTTACATTTCTCGACTGATACCTTACTCTCTGCTTGTACTTCATATGAAGGTTGTTCTTAAAAATTGTCCACTCTATCATGTTTGCAAGACGATGCTTTTGTGACAGCATACATAAGAAATAAAATTTTGAGATACCCTATCAATTGAAAGATGAAATTTAATCCAAGTATTTCTTCTGCGACATAAAAAATGATCTGTGAACTTTAAAGGCCTCACAAATTGCACTCATACGCACGATGTATGAAATAACTTTTTCATCCGATAATAAAATTATAACAATTTTTTTAAATTTGATTTCTTAGAAAACTAATTCCTTTGTTTAACTTTAAAACAAGCTTTCAACTAACAATTTCTTAAGTCATCCGTTTCGTCCTTCACAAATGACACATACACAGCGTTAGCTACACACAGCAATTAAATTTCGGCACTTAGTTATACAGCATTATTATTACATTCACATTCATGTTCAGACGATTCATTTTCTTTCAACGTTTCACCATGCAGCATTTGTTAAAAAAACAGCATAAAATTCGTTGCGTGGTTTTGCATGGAAGTTTCTTTTGACAGGCATCAGCAAAAAAATTACGAACGTAGAAAGAGAAGTTTCAGTTCTAAGAACAAGGCCGCATCGTATCACCCACTTTTTTTTAGCTGCCAACCAAGATTAATTTAATTATTAAAAAAGTTTTATTACTTTTAAAAACTAAAATAAAATATTTTTTGTATAAACGAGGTAATGATTTTTTGCGATTTAGCTGGCTGTTTGAAATAGATTGATTGAACAGAAAGTAAGTAAAAGTAAGATTGACTATGTCGAAAATTTTAATTTTACATATTCAATTGTTTACACGATTGCTGAGATAAAAGTTGTTTTTTAGACTGAGTTATTGGATTGCTTGTATAATTTTAAAATCAATATTTACAGCGATAAATTAAACAAGCCAAATGTCTGAACCCCTAAACCGGACTAACGGGATAATCTTTTTTTTCAAATTCTATTATTCAAAAACAACACTTTTATTTTTTTAATTTGAGATTTTTTAGCTACTCGTGTTGTTGGCAATTTTTTGTTCTGTTTAACACTTTATTTTCTGTAACCTTTTCATCCCATCAAACAACCTTCTCTCCGGGTTATAATGATTTAACCGGGTGAAACATTTAAAAGCAGGTGAGAATTTAAACAATCTTCTGAATTCAAAGCGTCTACATGACTGTTCAAAGACGTTTTTAATTATGCAAAAGTGAAAAGTTTATGCCAAAAGTCTTAAAGGTTTTGGCCGGATACTAACTTAGTTGAAAGCATTGTTTTTTTTAGTAAAAACGTTACTTTATCTCCGTCATCTTCGAAATCGCAGTTTCAAATTTTAATCTTCTTTTGCATTCACATGGTGGGATCATCCAGTTTTAACATTCCACAAATAATGATTGGTGTTCACTTTTAGAAACCATTACAAGATAAATGTATCCATTTGAACATATATTTAAACCTAGTGCGTGCAACCAGCATAAGCAAATGAAATGTAACATTGGAGGCGCTGTATGATACAAATGCAGAAAGAGCATATGTGAAGAGGCCTCCACGCACTGGCTGTTTACTTTAAGTAAGCCGTACAAATGCACTCGTCCGCAATTTTAATAATTAAAAATCAAACCTTCTAAGAAAAGACTGAACTTTTTGTAAATCATTCCACCCAACTAAACAAACATTGTCGACTTTTGAACTATCTTACTCGAGTTCTTTTGAGAACGATGAACAAAATCAACAAGCATGCATGCACGACTTCGCTACAAATTAAATTGTCCTTCAATTAAATGTCATCTCAATACATCTCAACATAAAAATACATCTCAACATAAATGTCCAGCATAAAACAGAGCTGTAATTAAATTAATCTGTTGCTAGCAGGAGAAATTAACTGTTGAATAGCACTAAGCAGAGTTGGAGCAGATCGATTTACAACCATTCCACTCACCAACAGATTTCTTCGCGGCACATGGTGTGTACGTGCTCTCAGGCATGACATGAAACGTCAAACAGCAGTAGCAGCAGCAGCAGCAGCAAGACGAACAGAAATACACGGAGAAATATTTGGGACGACAGGCATCGCAATTGTTTTTTTTCTTGTTTCTTTGAAACCACGCTGACATATTAATTGCGTTTTAAAGAGAAAACATGTCACAACAGAAGAAATTAATAATTTACGTGTGCACCGACGATCCAGTTGTGGGTAACGAGATTTTTTGACAAGCGGATGAGGTAGGAATAATTTGGAAAGAAGTAAATTTGAAAAAGAGTTACCATAAGTTGTTTGACGGTGTATTTTGAAAATTTAAATTTATTTTGAAACTACAGACAGTAGTTGTCTACTAAATTCGCCTCGGCCAGTTACACTGACTTAAATATAGAAACCAATATTAATAAAAAAGATTAACTCATTACTTAGCATTGAAATGATTAACTCCCTCAAAAAATAGCGAGAAAAAAATGGTTTCTACATTATTTGGAAATAAAACATAACGCTGCGCCCACAAATAAGAGACTTTTGATTTTTTTTTTCATTTCTCAGAAGAAATTTTTTTCTACTTAGAAAAGTTAACAAACGAACTCTCGTTGCATCACTTAAAAATGACGTCATCATTTTAAAAAACATCTTTATTTTGAAAACATTTTCCCACGAAACTCAAAAGCCAAATTATTCATACAATTTTTGAAATGTAACAGCCCGCTATTTTTCAAAAAAAAAACAAACAAACATTAAAAACAAAACATTGAGAATAATAAATTAATGCTTCTAGTAAATCTTGAATAACTCACACCAACCGAACTCTCGGTTCCTTCACTGGCGATGCTTCCCTCTACATCTGTGCGTGTTAAATAAAACACCTACCTCATCTACGCCAAACAGGTAAAATACTTCGAAAAATTTTCAAAAACAATTCAAAAATATTTCCACAGAAGACAAACACACACAAAATCAACCACGTACAATAGAATCAATACATTTTTATATATCTAGACCGCTAGAAGCGTTTTCAATAGCAACAATTTCAATATAAGCTCTAGCATAGTGTATGGGATTTACTATACTCCAAAAAAGCTAGCGTGAAGAATAAAATCGTTTATATTGAACCAAAAAAATGTTTGTGCATAGAAATGTTATCAAATCATAAAAAAGGTTAAAGGTTAAAAGGTCATAGACTGCACAACTTAATAATCTACAGCGTTAAGTAGTTTCAATCGTGACTTAAAATCATGTAAATGAAACGTTTATAAAATATACAGAAAGCAAATGCTAAAATTGTTAATAAACCCAGACAAGCTATTCGTATATATAACACATAATATATCGCAGATGGTACAAACTAGAGATATTATGAATAAGCACAAGTATATATGTATATATATCCTATATAGGAAAGATATAGAGGAAACATTAGTGAAGAAATCAAACAAAAATGAAATAAAAATAGTATATATAAATACTATATATATATGTATGTATATATATATATATAACATATGTTAAATATATAAATATATAGATTGTATATATTGGTTATAAGTTCGCGTTCCAGTTGAATTATTCAATCGACCCATTTAAGGTTGAGGTTCAGTATGATGAAGCAGTAGATTTCAGTTAGCTCTTCTATCTGTAGCGGATTGAAAACGAAAATGTTTTTTTAGGTAAAAATAAATTAAATTTTATATATCTTAACGAAAATTTTGGTTGGAAGACATATTCGTATAGGATGTAACTCAATTGATAATTAATTAATAGTCAATTAATAATCTGACTGATGAAAACTGCTCATACAAACAGAACATACAAACTAATTTACCCTTGTGTCTTTGGACAGTTTAAATGAAACAAGTGGAGCAAAAAAATCTTGTTTACTCGAGTGAGATGAAGATGTTAACCATTAAACAAATTAATTATTAAACAAAGAAAATGGAGGAATTGATAGAGTCAAAATGAGTAGTTGCACTAAACAGTTTTAAGAGTCGGCTTTCCAGCTCCATGCCCAGTGTTGACGTCAACTTTTATGAAGAGAGGCTTCATCTGATTGTTACAATGATGACGTCATAACAAATTACGGTGACGTCATCATGACTTTTTGATGATGTCGTAATGATGAGTTTTCGATGAAGTCACAATTATTATAAATACAATAATAAAAGTGATAATAACGGTTTAAAATAAAAAACACATAATAATGTTAACCGATAATAATGACAACCATGAAAGAAAAATACACACACACCAACACACACACACACAAACCAACACCGACACACACAAAATACACCTGAGAAGGAATATCTCTAAAGACATGCTGCAGCTGAGCGATGAACTTGAGGGAATGGAGTGGAACGACCCGATCATCGTGATCACCAGTCAAGAGGAGGGTAGCAGGGTATTGGTGAGGGGGTTTGTGGTGGATGTTGTGTAGGGGCGAGTATCTGAAAAGTGGAGTTGTTTTACAGTGAAATTAAGTCGGGTCGTTGTGAAATTTTTGGTGGCGTTTGAAGGTCAACACGAAGATATGGTGGTGGTGGTGGTTGTGATAATCGGCTATTCTCATTACTTTATGCTACGCTACTTAATTCTGAGAACCAGATGCGTTAGCTAAACTTAAAATTTGTTTGATGAAAGTAAGAAAAAAACCATACAGCAGCAATCAACAAGACAATAAAACAAATGAATACAAGTATGTAGATGATGAAGACGACGACGACGATGATGATTAATATTGGTCGTGTTAATATTTTATAATAATAATAATAATAATAATGAAAATTATCTTTATATACATCGAAAAAACGTTTGCTAGCTAACTTAATGAGCGTTTGAAAATCCTCCTTGTTATCAGAGCAACCAAAATCAGTTGTCCAGGCATGTCCTATGGTGAACTTGTGGAAGCGTAGCATGTCCATCACACTGGAGAAAAAATAACAACAACAATAATAATAATAATTATTATTATTATTGTTATTATAATAACAAAATAAGTCATAATAAATAATAGAAATAATACGGATAAGAATAATAAGATAAAATTTTAGTTAGAGCCACCGACCCGACTTGAGCGATGGCACAGCCGAAGAGATCCGGTCTTTGATTTGCACACGCTGCCACTAGCAAGCCACCATTGCTACCACCGTTTATCGTTATCCTGGTTGGTATGTGTTTGTTTGTGTCTGTGTGTTTGTGTCTGTGTGTGTGTGTACGTGTACTTGTGTGTGTGTTTGCGTAGAGTTTAAATATAATTTGTTGGAATAAATTAGTCAATCAATCGATCAACCATCCAACCAATCAGCTAGCCAGCTAGCTGGCATCCAGCCAACCAACCTATCAGCAGAACAGTATTTGTTGTCAATCAGGTAGGTAGCGGCCATTTGAAAATCATTGAAAACATTCTGCTTGTTCTTCAACATTCCCGCCTTGTGCCACGTTTCACCATACTCACTGATGGTGATTAGTGATGATGATACTGATTGAAGTGATGACGAACTGACGCGCTGGTGATGTGAGCATGTGTTGATAGTCTGATAGGACAACGTAATGATATGATGATGAAAAGTTATGTGATGATAATGCGAGTATTTGTTGATAGATAAGATAGATGAGACAAGATAAAATAAAAAGTAGCGTGATAATAATGTGGTCAAATGATGTGACGATAATGTGGTCAAAGTAATGCGACAACGTCACTACTACCAACCCTCCCCCTCTGATGTTAGGGACTGCCAGGACCCCAGAGAGATGGCTGATGAAGACGAGACGACTGACGCTGAACGTCGGGCAGATGGAAATGTTGAAACCTCCATAACCGTACAGAAATACTGGATTGCTCCCGTCCAGTGCCAAGTTCTAATAGAGATGATGGAGAAGAAGATGATGAAGACGAGAATGATGAAGATAACGATGATGATGATGATAGTGGGCTGTACTTTTGAACTTGATACATTTGTGAAATAGTTTAAAAAAAAATTAATGACGTGAAGCCGCAAATAAGAACAACCTTTCTATGAACGATGAACATCGGAATCTTGACATTAGCATCATCTGAGGCTGAATAGAAGACTTGTTTGGTTTCAAACTGACTGGCGTCGAAACTTTCCAACTTAATTTCATTGAAGACCTGACGAAGATAACATTCACGAAACCTTTGAAAAAAACAACAAACGCCATTTGACGATGTAAATAAGGCGCTATATGGATGAAAAATTATTACTGATTATCGTTATTATTATAAAATATTATTAATCAACTAACTACCTTGCAGTCGTAACCGTCTTTGAGGTTGCAGTAATATATTATGCCGGGAGTTAGGAAGGAGACAAACTTGTAAAAGATCTTCAGTTGTCAGATGGATTGATTGATTGGTTGATTGATTGATTGATTGATTGACTATTTCGATGGTTGATTGATTGGTTGGTTGAATTGTTGATTGATTATTTCAATGGCTGGTTGAATGCTTTCTTGATTGATTAGTTGAGTGATTGATTAAATGGATTGATGAGTTGTTTGGTTGAACATTTGGTCTGCTTTTGAAATTATAATTAGATAAGAAATGCACGCATACGAATACACGCTTCTAAAGTTTAATAAAAACAAACTCAATAAAATCAATGATATACAATGTAATGATACATACAGGTTATATATATTTATATATTGCTATACCAAATAAACATCACAGTAAATACACACCACACACACACACACACACACACACACACACACAGAGAGAGAGAGAGAGAGAGAGAGAGAGAGAGAGAGAGAGAGAGAGAGAGAGAGAGAGAGAGACCTCAGTGTATCTTTTATCTCCAGAGAATCCTTGCACATCCCCAATATCCAAAGGAAATGTTGCAAGCTTTTCACCAGTTGTTAAACAGTGCACATACAGCGCGCTCTATATGGTGTAAAAAAATGTATCATATATCATTAATTATTGTATGATATGTATATGATACATAAAATTATAAATATATAAAAATATATATATATATATATAATAAAATATGGCATATATTTATATATATAGTATATAAAATTCATTATTTAATTATAATTGCCGAATCAGTTTTTCATTAATAGAGAATAATGTTAAGTAAACTTACAGCATTGCCAGTAATTTAAAACGTACATTATCACATCAGTATTAAGTATACTAACTTAGTACTAATGTATTATGCAAAAACATTAGCTGAACCATCAACCGACAATTATGTTAATGTTTTTGTTGTCTGTGCACTTTATGTAGCGCTTTCTTGAATAAAATTAACCAATTTCAAATTGGAAACATTAACAAATGAAACATTTTTACTGTGATGAAGCAATATTTTGAAAGGCAGATAGATATATGCAGTTAGTTAGTTAGTTAGTTAGTTAGTTAGTTAGTTAGTTAGTTAGTTATTTAATTAGTTAGTTAGGTAGGTAGGTAGTAGTACCTTAACGTCAATCAGATAGCATAGAACGAGTTTGTTACCGGCAACACACGAAGCCCACTGTAAAACATCACGTTCTTGCTCGTCAATCAGCTTCCTCCAGTTACTCTACAAAGTGATCACGACACATTGGTAATTATAACAATGTGTTGGTTTTTGAGTCTTGGATGATGATGAAGTCGATTTATTGATGGTTAATAGACAATGACGATGATGGTTAACTCTGGGCTGATGCTGATGTTGACTACTTAACTATACATATATGCCTATTTGGAGAGAGTAATGATTAAGATGATGATATGACGATAATAATAAATTGATGATGACGACGATTAAGCCGATGATGATGATGACGATGAAGACGGCAATTCACCTGGTCATAATTGTTGATGTCAATGTTGATGACTTTGTATCGAGGGGCATTCAAGTTTGTCTTGAATGTAAACAAGCTACCTTCATTTGTTATGTACTGTTTAGATTGTTCACGTCATCGTGTTGTCGGTCGAAACAATGTATGTGAAGGGTAAACTTAATGATGTAAATTTATTACAAAAAAAACAAATAAAAATGAAATAAACTAAAAAAAACAATTAAATATAAAACCAAATATAGCCCTAAACTAATGAAAAAGTCTCAATATGTTTAGAATTATCCTCTCCACAACATTGTGCGTCTGTGTATGTGTGTGTGTGTGTGTGTGTGTGTGTGTGTGTGTGTGTGTGATTTATACATTTATACGCGGACTAAGTGATACATTTCAACAACTAACATCATACTCTGCGTCAAAGTTATCGACAATCTTAACGAAAGGCAGACACCCTGCAATTGTAAAATAGTAAGAAGAAAATTAAAATTAAATTAGAATAAAAGTATAATGAATTAAAATAATTGACATGAAATATAATTATAAGCCAACCAACCACCCAACCAACCAACCAACCAACCAGCCAGACAACTAACCAACCAACCAACCAACCAACCAACCAACCAGCAAACCAACCAACCAGCCAACCAACCAACCAGCCAGCCAACCAACCAACCAACCAGCCAACCAACCAACCAACCAACCAACCAACCTTCAATCTTGTAGTCAATATCGGAGAGTTTGCATATGTAGAGTCTATTAACTGGATCACATCCCTCATGGATTGTGCAAACTACGTATCCACCACAATCACTTACTGTAGCACCTCTGGTGAAAATATTTGTGTGTGTGTGTGTGTGTGTGTGTGTGCGCGCGCGTGTGTGTATGTGGTTGTGTACGTTCGTACGGTGTGTGTATTTTCAAGTGGGTAAGTCGAATTTTTGCAGTAGTTATCACATAGAGACTATGCATTAACTTTTTCAAAAAAAAACAAAACTATTATCATTCTCACAGTTAGAAAACTTTTGTCCTAAAACTGGGGTCATCATCATCATCATCATCACTATCATCACCATCATCATCACCACTATCATCATCATTAGGACCACAGACGCCACCACCGTCATCATCAAGACTAACGTAGTCCACTTGGGATTATCTGGCCAGTTAGCGCATACAACGTCCACTGACTGGTCAGTCCCGATCTTGTGGTAGCACAGCTGCTGGTTGAGATTTGTGGTCACCTCTGTGCCATCAGACTTGCCGTCGTCCTCTGTCGGGTATATCTGCAATGGTATTTGGGGTACATTTTTTAAATAGATGTCTGTACTTTCTGTGCGTATTTGTAATTCGTATGTATATCCGTATACTTTTTCTGTTTCTAAAAAAGTGTACGTATTTTATATGTGTGTGTGTGTGTTTGTGTGTATGTGTGCGTGCATTTTTGTAAACATTTCTTGTGTATGAACAAATTTAATCAATCCTAATTATCCACAAAAATTAAATGATAAAAAAAAAAAACTAAAACAAAAAAAAGTGTCATGCCAAAAAAAAGAATGGAACAAACATTGTAAAAGAATCCTAGATTATCATGAGTCCACGAGAGTGAAGTGAACTTGCAGTGTTTCAGCACCTCTGGAAAGTCTTCCTTGCTTTCTGTACTCTTAATCTGAATAGTATCATCAAGCAGTTGCTAGAAACAGCCAGCAGTTCATGTAGTGAGAATAGTGCTTAGAGATTATGTGACAGTGAAAAAATGTTAAAAACAAATGTTTATCCTTGATAAATGACCAACAACCAGTTCAATGGAAACTTATTCTTATCCTTAATAAATGACCAGCAACTAACTGACCGACCTTTATGTAAACCCAATCAGACCCAGCTTCGCTGAGACCATATGCCAAATATTTCCCATCTTCCGAAAATGCATAGGTACTGATTGACGTCGTGCCCTCTTCTGATAACAAGTTAGGGTCCAAAAATACCTCGCTGGGGCCATCAAGGCATGACTGAACGTACATGACACTAGGCGGGGTAGTTAGGGATTAGTGTAATTGTTTGAGTGTAAATAGGTAGATGCCATTTTTGTTAAAAGTTGAAATTATCGGATGTTCAAAGTTTATAAAAATTTATATTAATTAATTAAATAATTAATTAATTCATTAAATAGTTATACAACCTTTGGTTTTGTAGGCCAGAGTTATAAAAGTAGTACCATTTATCTCCATGCTTTTGAGGGCACCCATATTTTGGATAATTCCAAAGTTCTGTAATCCTGAAATTTTTATATTTTCTGAAAAATTATCTAACATTTCACAGTCTGCAAGTATTTTTTTGCGATCAGTACTTTTTTCAGAATATAAAAAGAATTGAAAATAAAATAAAATAAATTTTATGTTTAAAAACATTGGCAATTTCTTTCTGACTCAAGATAATTTTTAATATTTTTGCACCGACCAGCCGGCCAACAAATCCGACCTCTTATTTAACTTCTCCCTGCACTCACAGCCTTCTAGGTAAGGAACGGTCAATTTGTTCTGGGCATGAACAAATTCTACAGTTTCATCTGAATATGGATCTTCTAACCATCTGTATGGGTCTGCTACCTTTTATTTTTAAAATTAACTAATTGATTAACTTAAAATGAATAATTGATTGATTGATTAATCATTAATGCATGTTTTAAATAATTTTTATAGTTTAATCTATTAATTTTTTTTATAAATGTCAGACACAAATACAGTACAGAGTTTATTGCAATATTCAAAATTAAAAGATGCAAATTAATAGCAATGCTTGAAACATACATGCACACACACACGCTCACATATATAATTTGCTTAACAAATTAATTAAATGGCATTTATTTAATCAACGAACGGACTACCAAATAAACAGATTAGTTCAAAGTATGCAAATCACATGATATGATGGTCTGCAATGTTATGGTGGTGCAATTATGTAAGTGTTTTGTTTGTGAATGTTGTGATGTAAACTATAAAGTTTTAACCGTTAAAACTTTACAGTTTACATCACAACATTAAAATTTAACGGGAATCAGGTGAAAGAAAAAGTTGTAATATTTTATTTATCCATTAATAATATATTTATATAATTAAATTAAATATTAAACTATTAAAAAATTTAAAATTGGAAAATTTAATTTTAATATTAATTATTAAAATTTTAAATTTTAAATATTATTAAATTAAAAAAAAACCTTGCAGCCATGATAATCATCAACAACAGTGTCATCTCTGCGAGCGCTTGGATACATAAACGTCGTCATATTTTTCATGAATTACAAATAAAATAAATTATATAATTTAAATTTAATTTAATTAAAACTGCAAATCAAACAAATCATCAAATTGCTTGGCGACGCCGACGACGGCGTAATTCCCCAGCAACTTATGATACAACTAATAGCCCAACCTGATACATTTTATTTCTTTTTAGTCGACATCATACATGATATCATGGATATGTATAATATCCATATATATCCATGCATGGTATATACAGAACACACACACACACATGTTAAAACGTAAAAAGGAATAAGTAGTACAAATCTAGTTTAATCTAATATAGGTTTTTATTAGCATAATCTAGTAGAAAACATGTGCGTTATGCGTAAGTGTGTGTGTGTGTGTATTTGCGTGTGTATCTCATTAACTTATTAATACAAATAATCGTTATTCAAATTTGAATTTACATTCGGAATTCGAATTCATTCACATGAGTCAGGGCTGTCTTGGGAATAACATTATTTCACATTAACTATATTCTTTTTCATATATTTCAATAAATTATATGTTCCAACACGCTTAAATATATCCATTATTATTACTACTTCCATACAAAAATGACTTCATTTATCATGAGAATAACTAATAAAAGGCGTCGTAATGGATGTATCTACTGATCAGAGAGCCAACATAATCACAATGAATCGTCTTTAGCTATAAGCTCCTCTGCAGCGCCAACTTACTCCACGCAAATTTGCTACAACTTTTGTTAATGCTTACGAGGAAATATTTAATCGTGAGTTATACATTTTCCATCTTTTAAATATATCAAAAAAATTATTAAGGATGAAAATAAATTTTTTTATTGATATAAAATTAGCGCTGGTTGTTCGTTTTACATTTTCTGCCATCATTAGCACAGATGAATGATGTAGTACGTCAAGATAGACACACTCATCATTATGTTCATTTCCGTCAGTCCGTTGGTCAAGTTAATTTGCATTCATCCACTATCTACTATCCATCCATCAGTAATGAAATCATTATCCAGATCGTTTCAATTATTTTTCTTGCGTTGTATATCATTTGGCAGACTATTTCAGTGCTATAAGCTTAATCATCTTGTCGTTATCATCGATATTATCACTCTTATTATCATTACCATTTTATTATCATCTTAATCGTCACTCCATCATCATCTTAATCATAATTCCATCATATTCCTCATCATCCTCATCTTCAGTTTCTATATTAGAAATACATTGCAATAGAAACCGGATACTTCTGCTGCAATGTCTCATTAATCTTTTCAACAAAGAGGCAGAAAAAAACAAAAAGATTTGAAAAGAAATATTTTCCATGCTGCTCCACAAAAAGCCATCTGTCACAATTTTTTTCCCTCTCTTTCTCTTGGAAAAACATTGTTTGTCACCTTTCCATTTTTTACATTTTTTTCGAAATTGTTTTTTTTTTGTTGAAAATTAATGTGTTTTTATTGATTTAATTTATTTTACGTTAAAAGGTTTTTTTGAGATTAATTTATTTTTGTTTTATGGCATGCATTAGAATATTTTTCTAGCTAGCAATGCTTTTTTCTATCAACTTTTGTGTGAAGTTCTCGTTTAGAAATGGAATTTTTTAAAGATTTTTTTTAATCATAATATGTTTTAAATTGAAATAATTGTTGTCAATTTATTTTTTATGATTACAACAATGATAGTAAAACAAACTCCCAGACAATTGTAAATCAATTAGATTTTACAGACAATACAAGTCGCAATGTACAAATATCTCATTTAGGATAAGATCTAAAAATTCTAGAGGATTATGGTGATGTTAAGGAATGCTAAAAGACATGATGATGCAGTATTGATGATTATGGAAGAAAAAATTAACATGGTAATACAAATTGAATTGGATAACAATGACTATGAGCTCTTGGCATTATGAGTTCGACATCTTATCGGGCTAATGAATATAATTAGTTGCAACCAGCATCACCATCCTCATCATCTTCATCACCAACGTCATGTTTATCATTATCAACATCATCATCGTCATTGTAGTCATCATCGTCATCATCATCGTCGTTATCATCATCATCGTCATCATCATCATCATCATCATCATCTTCATCACCAACGTCATGTTTATCATTATCAACATCATCATCGTCATTGTAGTCATCATCATCATCATCATCGTCGTTATCATCATCATCATCGTCGTCGTTATCATCATCATCATCATCATCATCTGAATGTATTGACAAGGGCTTGCGAACTTTTGCACCTGAAAAGAGCTGGAAATTGGAAAAATAAAATTTCACACATCCATTCATTCATCCACCAATCCATCCATCCATCCATCCATCCATCCATCACCTCATTGAAATCAGGTTTGTGTTTGTAGGTACGTGTTTTGTTGTTTGACTTCATCGTTCAGAAGTCAAACAAGAATCATAAATTTAATAGTTATATGATTTTAAATTCATTTTGATAAAATATTTATAAAAATCGACTTATGAATAATTTTTCTAATGCAAAATTTAAAACACAAAACATTCTCAATCATAATTTATTCCTATAATATTTGTGAAAAAACTTTTCCACATATTTTTCCACATATTCAATCGAAACGTAAAAACAAAAATTAAAAAAATACAAAACGAAAAAAGACCTTGTTTTTCTTTCTGTTGTTCAGCTTTTTGGTAGCCCTGCATTTTTTTGAGGGCGATGGCCTCCAACCTAATTCTGGCCCTCGGATAGTCTTGCAGGACATTCCACAGGTCGACCTTCGATAGGCAGAATAAATCTGAGTGGCCGACTGATATGACTGAAGCTGTGCGTCTGTTTAAGTATGTTGGTTGGAGGAGTTGTTGTTGCTGATGACGTGCAACGTGTAATTGTTTATTTGTTTGTTTATTTGATTGATTGACTGTTTGTTTGTTTGTTTATAAGAGTGTCTTTGTATTTGTACGTATTTGTGTGTGTATTTGTACTTGGACATGTAGGTGTACGTTTAGAACCTGTTGCTGCCCGTGTTGAGGATGCTGAGTTCGCCGAAGTAGCTGCCAGGTTTCAACGTTGCCAGGACGGAGCCTTCATCGGATAGAACTTGCAGCTTGCCTCGACTCACGACGTACATCTCGCGACCTATCTCGCCTAGTGATGCAACGATTAAAGATTCGTATAAGTTTTTTGTGTTTTTTTTTGGCTTAAAATATTTCATAAATATTTATTACAAATATGAAAATATATATATAGCAATTAAATTACTGAAAGCAAAAATTAACAAGTAAAATTCACATCTCAGTTTTTCTCACATAGGCACTTTGAATCTCAAAAAACAACCGTCGCATGTAGAATGGCGCTCTGCGTGTAGGTATTAAGATAGCGCTTCGGAGGGTCTATTTTTGCGTTAATTAAATATTGACAGTACCAGCTGCCAACGTAATTAACGCAAACATCACATACGTCACGCATACGTTACGCATACGTCATACATACTCTACGCATACACTATACAACACATACAAAATACATAATGTTCGGCCAGTAACAGGTAAGAAGTTATTGGCAGCTGTCAATTAAAATTAATTTTACATAAAGCGATAACTTTTTAAAAAACCATCGCACATTTGCATACAATTTTTTCCTGTCCTCCGACATACACACGCGAATATAACTTAATTACGGAAGAAAGTTATATTTAAAAATATATACGTACACGCGTTCAAAATCGCCGCATGCTTATCAACGCATATATAAAGAAACATATTCAAACACACGCGAAATAGACGCAAACTAATTCAAACAAAAAGTAAAACGCGTTAAAATACATTTAAACAAGATATATATATGATCAACAAAACTTGGTAATTACGGATACATGGATACAATCTAATCACCTAATCACACACACACCACACACACACACACACAGCACAAACACAAACACACACGCACACGTCGTCATCCAACAAGATAAAAAAATGTACATACCCTTCCTACATATGAAATCTCCAGGCGAGAATAGAACGGACTTCATGCAGAGGACGAGACTTCTTAGGAAGCCGACCTCTGTGTGTTGGAAGACTTCTACCCGTTTCAACGTTTCCAGGTGTAGGTGCAGTGCTATTTCAGATCTGGATGGCGGTGAATAAATGGAGATGAACTGATGGGGTTTTTGTTGGTTGTAAAGTATCTTTTTTGGGCTGTATCTTGTTATTGTCTTTTTTTGCTGTTGTTGTTATTGTGCAAGTGTTTTGGCAGTTGTGTTTAAAGAGATGTTTAATCTGTGTGTTTTGTGTCGTTCCGAAGTTACACGCAAATTTTATAACTGAAAACTAGAGGTCATTTGTAACCGGAGCTTATCAGGTAGCAGACTCAATGTAACGTCTTCATCAACGGCACTCTCTCCTCTCTTTTTGCCTGTCCATAGGTAGTCGAACCAGCGGATGACACGCAGCTGAAGTTGCTCAGGAACTCGCCGCGTCGTCATGTAGTGCTTTACCTGGTCCAGTCGTGCTGTGTGTTCATTTGTTTGCTTGTTCATATGTTTTTATTTGTTTGTTCGCTCGTTTGTTCATCTGCTCGTTTGTTCAGCAGTTGTTTTTTAAAGTTGTTGAATAATGAATAGCAAAATAATACGTTGATTAGGCGATTCGACATTAAGCATGGTACACAAAAATAAAATTTTTACTTTTAAAATCTTGACAACTTCAAAAATTTTTGAAATATGCCTCAGTGAACGTAAAACAACAACAACGATAAAATTTTTACGAGTCATTCCTAACCACAGAGCGTGATAATAAATCTTATCAGCAAACTTGTTTGCTAATCCTTAAAATAAAAATTTACACAGGCAGACAGCCATAGATAACTGGCATGGAACAACGTGCTAACATGAGAAATTTTTTCAGTGGAAGTTTCTTGGAGGCTGGAGACATAAATATTCATGTACAGTCAATGTTTGAATGTTATTTATGCCTGTAGGCTGATGAGTTATTTTTGGCTTTTTAACGATTTTTTGTTACTTTTTTAATTTTAATAACTTTCATTTGAAATGCTCACTGTCACACGTCCACACACACATACACACACACCACACACACACCACACACACACACACAAAACACTCTCCACACGCATACACACACACAAACTCACAATGACACGAACAACACATAAATACACGTACATACACTCACACACTTACACGCACATTTATGCTTCATGCCGAAAGGAATGCATAGAGAAAAAAATCAAGTCTTGGATGGATTAAGATTTTGTTTGTGGGAAAAAAAATCCAGTTTCTGCCACGGCGTTTTTGATGACACTTTTGAAATTTTTTACTTGCCTGCATTCTTTATTGCAGAGAATTTAAAAAAAAAAACTTTGCAGCCATCAAATCTCATTTTACAAAATTATCTCGCTTCATTGTTTGTCAACTTTCAATTCAAGACACATCCCAGAGAAGAATCTAATTGCATCATTTTCAAAAAATAGCAGACAAACAAACATAGGCAAACATAAACACACACACACGCGCACACACACACGTACACAAACAAATTTATACTTAGCAAGCCGCAGAAGAATCCTGAAGCAGGCACAAACAAAAAAATTTCATTTAAAAGTCGCACTGAAATAAAAGTCGAATTTACTTTATAACGAAATTCTGCTGTCAAATGAAAGGGCAAGATGGGCAGTGGTGTGGGCAGTTTAATGGCATGGTTAGCACTCCTTTGCTGGGTACATTCATTCCAATTCAATTCATTCACTCCTATTACTTTTTCATTCCTTTCGATGTGGATTTCTTTGTTTGGTGATTTGCCTACATAGGATATTAATTCATTTGTTTTTTAGTTTTGAGGTGTTCGGAGATTAACTGGAATTGCTTTTCCATATGGTTAGTTTATAAATATTATTTTCATTCATGTCATAGCCTCAAATGTTTATGAGACATTTAAAAAAAGTTTATTTCACAATAACTAGTTCAAAGA